TCTGTGAAGCCATGCGCCTAGAATCAAATCCATGCAATATGATCAGTGTATGATTAATATGATCAGTGCTGTTTACAAAATTTACAGATCAACATTTCATCCTTCCATATCTTCCATATCGCTATTGCCATCCTAGCTGCACGAAGCCACGCAGTCTGCCTTACAAAGGCATAGAAGGTCTCGCTTTCCACAGGAGGCCTCTCACATCAAGATACAAGGTACTAAAAGTTACCAGACATGAAAGCATTCTCAGCTTTCAGCAGGCAACAGTTATTCAATCTCCTCTTGTAGCGTCTGGCCCCCTTCCAAAAATATTTACGCTCCTGCGCCAAGCAAGAAGCGCCTTGCCACCATCGTCGTTTCCACCAGAGCCCCCGCAGCCCTGAAGGGGACACAAGGAACTGACGGAGTGGTGAAGACTAGATACTAGATTGTCAACTGCAGAATGGGGTGAACGGGTCATCTGACCGAGATAGCGTTACAAGCTGCCTGCAATATCAAGACCGGAAACACGGAGCCCGTGCAAAGTAAGTGCAGAAGTGGCCAGCGCCAGGCCATGATCTCACCTCCGAATTGGCAATGTAGTATTTGAGAGAAAAAAAGGTGGGAGTTTGGAACGGAACGGAATTTACAAATCACACAGTTTGCTGTGTCAAATTGGACACGTACAAAATTTCAATCGCACCTTCAGCAGAGCCACGGCGGGTCCAAGGCAGGAATTGCTTGAGCAAATATTGCCAATAAGAAACCCATTCTTGATTTGTGCATACTTTATTCCAACAACAGCGCAGGTGAGCAAATGGTGACAAGTCAATATTCAACATTAACATGTTTGTCGATTGCAAATTTAATTTACTGATAATTGGAATTATTCCTACATCACTTCACGTCCGGCAGCCTGCGGCGGGTATTGCATGGGTTGCTGCATTCGGCCCATCTGGCCCTGCCCATAGCCCATGTGAGGGCCACCTGTGGAAACATATAGAAAGGACATGGATTGTTTGATTTCATCTTCAATCTGAAAATTTAATGTGACAAATTGGGGTGTGGTGATGCAATTCTGTCAAATCAGTTTATTGTCTCTGCGTTTGATACATGAAATAATTTAATTACGTTTTTAAAGCCAATGCGGTTCTCTACATTGTCAAACTTGTCAGCCTCCACGGCCCCCGTACGGCTGCATGACTCAGGGGCCAAGCCACCTCATTGAAAAAAAAAATGACAGAGTTTGCGGCACTGAAACCGACAGAGTCTGAGTCGGCGTCCTCGCAGCATCACCTCTCTGAAATTGGACTGTTTGGTGTGCATAGCGACTGCATAGTGACTGCATAATGACTGCATAGTGTATAAACGACATAAACGACATAGCATTGTTCAACCATTTTCAACCAGGTCTCACCCAAAAATTTAATGTGGTTTTTCCAACATTACTGTCGATACTGCAACATTTGAAACGACACTCAAATCGGCACATCTGTTTTGCGAACCTCGGGTCAAGCAGGAACCGCTCCTGAAGATGTGGCAAATCGTCTTTATCAATTCCACAAATTGTTGCGGCACTGCACCACAAAAAAAAAACAGGGGAATGTTTTTCGATCAATCACACACTAAATAAACATTGGCATGAATGTCGATGTTGCTTGCCTTGCCTGGGTCATGGGGAAGGACAGTTGCTTCCCGCCGACTGACTGAACCATCACGGCCCCGTCCATCACCATATTTTCACAAGTTTCGGAACCGAGTTTTTATGATTGATAAAGAAGGTGATACTGACAAAACGTGAGATTGCATGGGAAAAATGACAAAACGTCAACGTGCACATTATCTCGATAGCACCCATGATAAATAGTTTCGGTGACAAAGAACATTGTTTTGTTGTTTTGCCATTTTTGCAAAACCTAAAAGAGACTACAACAGGTATTACCATCAAAACGATGCAGGTGGCATTGGGGCACACGATTGGCAAATAAATACTTGCAGAACAAAACGCATGACCATTGGCAAACGCAGCAATGGACACGGTGTTTCATGCACAATTTACACATGTTTGTTTTTCGCTGCATGTTTTGTTTCAAACCAAAACACTCATCAAAAATCGGTGTTGCGTGTAATGCTGTTCCCATACGTCAATATATCAAAGTGGACAAGCGAAACGCGTCCCCAAATAAGACGTTTTACCTAAATTCACCCCATCCCAGTGATCCACATCTGGTTTGAGCAAAGCAGTCACTTTGTGCAAAATAAACAGGACGGCAGCCCCTGGGAGTGCAGTTTTCCCATAATTTAAGATTATCTTTTGAGATGGTTTACTGATGTTTTACTGCACTCCCAAAGGCACTTTGACAGCTTTGCCTGTGATTCATGCCAGTTTCCTTGCAGTACCCCACACTTGGGAAAAACTTGGAAAAACCTTGAAAAAATTTGCAAAAACCTAGGAAAACCAAAAAACCTTGGAAAAAACCTGCAGAAACCAAAAAAACCTTGGAAAAACCTGCAAAAACCTTGGAAAACCAAAAAAAATGGAAAAAACAAAAAAAACAATCAATATACATATATACATATTTCTAGGCTCTTTGGGGGGGGTCCCTGCCAAGACTCTCTGAAAATTGTTTTTCTGGTTTTTGTTTTTTGTTTTTTTTTTTGTTTTCCAAGGTTTTTTTTTATCTTTTTGGTTTTTCAAGGTTTTTGCAGGTTTTTCCAATGTTTTTTTGGTTTTGGTCACTTTCAGCCATTTGCACCTTTTTGTACACTGGCCGTTCGGTGTTTTCATGCGTTCAAGCTTGCAGGAACCAATCGTTTAACCACTGCAGCTATGAACATACTGGGTCTGAGGATCAAGACTGTGCGTTCCAATTTTGAAATGTTCGGCCATGTCCTAGATAATAACCTTAGTTTTATGTTATTTTTTCAAAAAATGTTGCATAAATTAATAGCACACTTTGATGAAGTAATACGACCATTTTCTCAAGCATTACTATATTGCATCACGATGGAATCTGCGGTAGACTCATGTTACACTTTCTTGGAGGGATGCTACACAGATTTGCCAGGAAACTATTCACTTTTAAAAATAGATATACATACTCAAGCAGACCAGGAGATAGAATATGAAAAAAAATTAGCTCACAGATAGAATATGAAAAAAAAAACTAAGGTAGCTAAGACCCCAAACAGCAGATAGAATATGCAAACAACATATGCAGATAGAATATGAACATATGATATATGTGCAATGTTGCATGTGTATGCAGTACAGTACTGCAGTGCCTGCAGCCAGTACAGTATAACGACCAAAAACTAATGCAACACATACAAAAAACCATGAGATTGAATGTCACATCCTTCCAGCCAATAGTTTGCTCTCACTTTTTTCTCACCCCTAACTATGCTACAGTATGCAGTACGGCTGCCTGTACAACCAGAAATTTCTTGTGCATATTCTAAGTGGCCATATTCTAAGTGCATGGGCCCATATTCTAAGACCAAGGTTCTCGGCCTAGCTCTGAAAAACCTATTCCCCGAAGAGCGGCTTAGCTCAGCTAAGCAAATCTTAAGGTTTTATATTCTAAGTGCTGGTCCGTCATTGTACACACACATATTTATATATATATATATATGTATATACACATACATTGTGTGCATCTTCAAAGGAAGGTTTTCCTTGATTGACACAGATTTTGCACAGTTTGCAGTAATATAACATTTTTTTCGAGCAAATGTTGCACTCGTTTGAAAGGGATATTGTATATAGATAATTGTGTTACTGCACTCTTTGCATAGGCATGTAGCACTTGTTTACATTGCAATAATTATACTTGAATAAGTTTGCATTAGGATTTATGATTTATAATTACAATGTGTTTTGCATTGGTTCAAGCCATATTCTACTTTGTTTACAAAGATAAGATATGTTGCACTCTTTGAAAAGGTATTATTTGCAGAAGGTGGTGCAATACGTGCTTCACAACAAAAAACACATATTTTTAAACAGGTTTGTGCATCATCAATGGAATCTACAGTAAGTTCTTGCTACACTTCCTTACAACAATGTTGCACACTTTGCAAGCAAGAATCTGCACTTTCAAAGGTAAAAACACATGTTTCAATGAATGTGTCAGTAAGATGGCACTCTTTCCAAAACCATGCTGTAGTAATTCAAGAATTGATATTATCTTGGAAAACAGCATGTTACATTTTCCTACAGGAATGCTATGATTTCTGAAATAATTCAGTACATACATAGGAGGGTTCCCCTTGAAATTGGGAAGTAATGCTACACATGTTTGAAAGAATGCAACGATGTATGCAAAAGGTTGTGGCATACATGGAGGAATGGTGTTCTTTATGCAAAGTCATTTTACACGTGATCTTTGCATGTTTGTTTTCCATTATTTTTTTATAGAGAACATATTGCATAAATTGGTGCCTGTTTAAAATGCACATGTTTTAAATGTTATTTATCTTTGCAACAATGCCACACTTTTTGCAAAGGGTTGTTACATTGAGGAATGGTATTCTTTATGCAAAATCATTTTGCAAGTGCAATTTGCAAATTTATTTTTCCTTCATTGTTTATGGAGAACATATTGCATAAATTGGTCCCTGTTTAGAATGCACATGCCCAAAAAGACTATTGCATATGTTGAGGGAAACTCCTGTACAGATGTAGGGTCTACACATTCTTAAAGCAACGTTGCACTCTTTGGAAAGGCATTTGCACTTGTTTGTTTTGCTGTTTTTATTTAAAATTCATGTTTTTGTTTTGGTTGAAACTATGTATCTATGTAGGACATTGGGAGAGCGGTTGAGAATGCACAGTGGTTGCTTTTGTTACAGAAGCAACAATGTTTGGTTTTGGAAAGAACAGGGTTGAGTGTCAAAACTTATGAAACAGCGCACTCCCACAGCCTGCCGCTCTCAAAATACTGCAACATAAGAACAAACATATGGGTTCACAATATACGTATATTTTTATCACCCTTGAAACCGCTGGCTGCGGTGGAGCATTTGAACATTGTAACATCTGGACTGCATTGCAAGCTGAAGACACAACGAAAGGATTCAACTGAAGCTGCTATCACTCTGTTTTTGAACCACTGGGTGAGATCGCTGCCCGGTCATCTGGCATCGGGCTTGGCAAAATGAAGGTGATGTAGACGTCAAGCACACGGTCAACGCATGTCAGCGACAAGAGATGTGCCAGGAAGGAGCGTCTGCACTTCGCCAGGGCGGCTGAGGGTGGGGCGAAATGCAATCTCTCCTAAAAAGAAAACATGGGATGAACATGGACATTTCTTTCACAAAACATCTGTTGTACAAGCATTGCAAAAACTGTAAGCATCTGAAGCACGCATGAAGAAGTGTCACATTGACCTTGAACCCAGCCAGCTGATTTGCACACAAATCTTTCTTCTGGTGATAACTCGCGCTCATAAATGACCGCTATATTATCACCCTTGAAACCGCTGGCTGCGGTGGAGCATTTGAACATTGTAACATCTGGACTGCATTGCAAACTGACGACACAACGGAAGGATTCAACTGAAGCTGCTATCACTCTGTTTTTGAACCACTGGGTGAGATCGCTGCCCGGTCATCTCCCCACGTTTCAGCAAGGGCAACGAGTCTCACCCAGAGGTCATCGCCACACACATCACATCTTTGAGCTCCCGTGGTAACCACTTTCTCGCAAGACAACCTGGAAGGTCCGTCAGACAAGTTGGAGTCTGTCGGCACGAGCGTACCACGGCGTGATCTGCTTCAAAGTTTCCAAGGCCATTGTGGCCAGAAGAATCTGCTTCGCCACAGGATTGCGTGTTGTACATGCAATCAAAGTATCACGCACACCATTGTTGTCTGTGTAAATCGCAACAGCATCGGTCACAACGTCACCCCACAAAAGGAATGAAGCAAAGAGGGAGAAAAATTCACTGTCATA